CTCTCTCTCATCATCAACATCACGGTGGCTAGGAGATGTTAACTACCTCGTCTGGTATACAATAGGTCGTGGGTTCGATCCCGACCCTGACGCCTGCTGCTGTATATTTGGAGTTTGCGGTGGCGTTGATTTTCCTCTGGGTCCTTCGGCTTTGCCCTCTACATTCAGAATCAGCACGCGCTTAGAGTGTTTGGCTATTATAAATGTGCACGTGACGATAAGCCACTTCGTAGAGCTGTCATTTGCGAGAGCCAGGTCGCTTCTGAATAAGAGCCACACAGCTCAGTTGGGGCCTTACCTGGTCAAGTAAAATTAACATTGTTTAACTTCGAACAGCCGCTTGGCGTTTGGTCTTCTGCATTCAGCAGCCGTAGTTTAACATAAACATTTAAAAAACCACTCCAATGCACCAATAACACGCAACGAAAACAAGCGTCACCACCCGTATAGCCTGAACAGACTGTTGGGGAAAGTGCTGTTAGCGAGCAGCAGCTATGAAGCCCGAGGGGGTGGGTGGCCAGCACCACGCCTGGCCGCCTTTGTCTCCCCTAAGTGGCGATGTTTACACACCGCCACAGGTGCTCAATTGAGGGTGACTCGACCTAGGGGAGGCCCAGCACCGGTTCGGATAATCGCCACTGGCGTTGGTGGTCGTGAGCGGGATTCGATCTCGGGGCGCCGGGTTCATAGCACAGTGCGCTAACCGATGCGCCACTGCTCCCGACAGCGGCATCGAAACACTACGCCATGTGTAGGTTACCGTCATCGTCGTCATCGTCGTCATTATTTTCATCATCATCGTCGTCATCATTGTCCTCGTCATCATCATCGTTATTATCCTCATCTTCCATCATTATCGTTATCATCGTCTTCATCATCGTCCTCCATAATCATCGTCGTCATCAGTTATCGTCATTATCATCATCGTCGTCGTCATCCCATCATGGCGCGAGGTGTCCACCCGTGTCGGCAGCGACTCTTGATGGTGCTACTCGAGTCGCTTCTCGAGTCGCGACGAAAGTTGGTGACATTTTTTTCTGCTCCGGCCACAGTTTTAGTCGGCGTTGTTTCTCGGCGACCAGCCTTGGCTCTGGCTGATGGGAGCGTTGAATATCGAAACCCCGTCAAGCGGTTTTTTTTGTGTGTGCGCGTGTGTGTGTGAAGGCCGTTTAGCCAGCCATTTGGATGCTTAAAAAAAAAAACCAGGCACACGTTTGGTCTCACGAGGATTAACAGATTCGCTCCACGGGATCGCCCCTTGTAAAAAGAAAAAAGCCGGGCGACTGGCTGAACGGGAATCATCGTGTTCGTGTGAGGAAATCATGAACACTCAACGCTCCGACAACACTGCTTCCATTACGGGCTATATGCAAACCACGTGTGCGTTTGAGCAAGACTACGGTGGTGGTCGGTGGTTGCCCGTCTAGTTTTTCTTTGCGTTCCACGCGACGAGGATGTTTGGAGGCAAAATCAAAATACCGCACGGGACTTCCTGAACGTGCACCAAAAGAACGGCGCAGATGAACGCGACCGGGAAAGGCAAACGCTCGTAGAGACGCCTGCACGCACAGAGGTTGTGTGCATGCTGCGCTCGTTGAACTTCATCCTAGCGCAAGCAACGTACGCAGCCAACCGTGATGACTCGGAGGTGCGTGGTGAGGACAGCAAGCTTTAACGCAAAAAGCAGCACACACGTGCACAGGTGGACTTCGAGGTACCGTCTGTGGACGCACAGATGCGCGCAACGACAAAGATACATGCACAAGGACACAAAGACAAATACCCACCCCCTACCCCCTTTGTCTTTGTGTAGGGGCAAGTGCTGTTCGCGAGTAGCACCTATATCGGCTGGCACGGCACACGAGGGGGTGGGTGGCCAGCACCACGCCCGACCGACTTTGTCTCCCCAATGCTGACGTTTTAAACGCATCGCACCAGGTACTAATTTGAGGCTGAGTCGATCTGGGGGGGGGGGGAATTCCCATAACTGGTTCAGATAACCGTCACTGGTGTTGGTGGCGGTGAGCGGGAGATACAAAGGCGGCCGTGCGAGGTGCAGGGCACCATACTTCAATAGGGATTACCGTTAGTACGGCTATTCTAATGCACACAATGGACAGGAAGGACAAGCACAAGGGGCTCGCATAATGCACATCATGTACGTTGACTCAGTAATCCCCCACATCTATGCCTATATAAGGAAGGAAACAGGTGGACTTACTCTTTGATTCTTTCGGTAAAGTCACGTAGAAAGAAAATAAATTCAATAATAGAGTACGACGTTTCGATTGCAAAACATGGAACCGTCGTCAGGTAGAACTTAATTTGAGAGAGAGACAAAACACAGACACGGAGACACACAGACACACAAGCAGAGAGAGACAACACAGACACACAGACAGACACACAAGCAGAGAGAGAGACAACACAGAGACACATACAAGCAGAGAGAGACAACACAGACACATAGACAGACACACACGCAGAGAGAGACAACACAGACACACACAAGCAGAGAGAGACAACACAGAGACACACAGACACACAAGCAGAGAGAGACAACACAGACACAGACAGACACACAAGCAGAGAGAGACAACACAGACACACACAAGCAGAGAGAGACAACACAGACACACAGACACACAAGCAGAGAGAGACAACACAGACACACAGACAGACACAAGCAGAGAGAGACAACACAGAGACACACAGACAGACACACAAGCAGAGAGAGACAACACAGAGACACACAGACACACAAGCAAAGAGAGACAACACAGACACACAGACAGACACACAAGCAGCGAGAGTGACAACACAGACAACAACAACAACCGCCATTCGCCACTAAGTGGCGGTGACGTCACCACGACGCTTGTGCCAGGCCATGTGCACCTTGAGGCCACGTGAAGTGTCGAACGCCCGCTGGCAGGAGGTCACGGGGCAGACCCAGGTGCCACGGGTTGACTGACTGAGATGACTGGCTGATGCACCACCTGTGCCCCCTACTGTGCCAACCTGCTGTGCTTTAGCCACCCGGCGCTCCGCTCGTTGTTGTGAGCGTCGCTCCTCCACCCTCCGTTGTTGTTGGAGGGCGACTGCCTCCAACTGCCCAGCAGCGTCCTTCACGAGCCTCCTCCACAGAGGCCGATCTTGACACCGCTGGTACCAGTCATCGGCAAGTCCACTCAGCTCCACGTCCTCCTGTACCACATCACTCCATCTCTTCTCTACCCCGTGCCGCGCCCGTTTAGCCCCTTCGATCCGTCCGAACAAAAGCTGTTTCGGCATGCGGTGGCTGGGCATGCGGGCTACATGACCCAGCCAATGCAGCCTTGCCTGCCGGAGGAGCTCACCGATGGGACCTTGCCCAGATCTTTCAAGGATTTGTGAGCTCCTCACACAATCCAGCCTGGTTAAACCCAGGATGGATCGTAGGCAGGCTAGCCTAAATGTTTCTAACCAGCGAAGATGTTCCATTAAGGGGGTCCACGTTTCGCAAGCGTAGAGAAGGGAGGGAATGACCGTGGCCGAGAAGACCTGAAGCTTAGTGCGGAGCGACAGACTAGGTAGCTTCCACCAAGCGTTACGCAACCGATGAAAAGATATTACCGTTCAACTGATTCGGCTGATTCAAAGTGAGACCTCTGCTGTTAAACTGGAGACACACACAGAGAGAAACACAACATAGACACACAGAGACCCAATGCCTCTGTGTCCAGGTCTCAAATAGAGAGGGGGGGAGGGGCAGAGAGAGAGAGAGAGGTGGGTCTCTTCTCCACAAATCTGTATGTCGCCTGATGAAGCGAGTTGTAATTACTGGCGAAACGTCGTACTCAGATTGTAAATGTTGTGTCTTGGCTCTCCAACACACCGGTGTGCTGTACTAATAACGAATTGGCCACGTTATGTTTACGTGACAACCCTTACTAGTTGGCTGTGTCGGGTGGTGGCGGGTATTAACGACACATTTATATATTGTTTACGCGATCTAACCCCCCAAAAAATCCTCTATTATGAAGGACGAGAAGGTTCGAGAAAGGGGGCTGAGGAATATGAAAGGGAAGACAGCACGGGGAGCGGGGACGTTCGGAGGAACATCCAAGCTGGAAGACAAATACGAAGCCTCGGGCCCCTTTATTGTGACTACTTCGTCGTCAGAGTCGTTACACTTGCATCAACACCGCTGCGAGTATTGTCAAGAGCTCCGAGTACACTATGAACGAGTCAATGATCACCGTGCCGTGCTTTTAAAACATTTCTGTATTCACAATGCAGGATAGTGCAGTGGTGGGGTAGTTAAACATCGCCACTCGGGAGACAAAGGCGGCCGGGCGTGGTGCTGGCCACCCACCCCCTCGTTTGCCACAGTGCCGGCCTTCACAGGTGCTGCTCGCTAGCAGCACTTGCCCCGACAGTCTGTAAAGGCTACGGGGGCGGGGGGGGTGGGGAATCTTTGTCTTTGGTGCTGCTGACTCATTTGGGGTCCATGGGCGGATCACTTCACTGGTCACCACCATCATCATCAGCCGCCATGGTCAATCCACTGCTGGATGGATGAAAGCCTCCCCAAGCTTCCGCAACCTCTCACGATCCTGTGACGTGACAACCCAACCAGCAGCGCCTGCCACACGATACCCGTGTTAACAGTGGGTATAATGGCCCCCTTTTAGCGTCGATTCGATTAGCGCTCACGTCTCCAGGAACGCACCTCGAGCGCTAAACGAGGTCTGCCTGATTTAAAGCTTTCGTGACTGCAAGGATTCATCTTCTTTGGTTCTTTCGGTAAAGTCACGTAGAATGAGAATAAAATAATAAATTGATCAAATAAAATTACACAATAATATTCTCACGACGTTTCGGCCACAACACAAGCGGCCTTCATCAGGTGAAGGGGACGAGACTGTCTGATGAAGGCCACTTGTGTTGTGGCCGAAACGTCGTGAGAATATGATTGTGTTATTTTATTTTATCAATTTATTATTTTATTCTCATTCTACGTGACTTTACCGAAAGAACCAAAGAAGAGGTCTGCCTGGTCACGTTTATTTTAATCCCGCCTGAAGGTATATTTTTTCTTAAAGGTATTTTCTCCTTGTTCAAATTTGTTATGCCTTTTGGGAGTGTGGGGGCGGGGGTGGTATTTGTATCCGTGGTTAAATCAAGAGCCCGCTGCGTGATATATTAGGTTTTAGAATTGCGTGAGTTTAATTATTAACTTACTTGCTTTTAGCAGTCTGCAGCGCCTTGCGACCTCTGGGTGAAACGCACTTTATAAGCGTCAATTCATATTGTGATTTAAACGTTATTATACCGCAGTTGTGTGACAGAATTAAGGTAACGAAGTAAAAACTACAATTAAATATTAATTCAACGGTGCTTTTCGTTTTCATAATAAAGGGGGGTTTCTTCTTTCTCCTCGGTTTAGATCGCGTTCATTACAAATGAGTCGGGAATCCACCACAGCCCATTAGCAAGGTTGTGTCACGTAAGCAGAACGTGAGCTTTGCAAATATAAATATGAAGACGCTCATTGTTCTAACACAATAACAACAGTGATCCGAATCCCACCTCTAGATGTTAAGCGAGTGTGTTCTACCCTGCACTTGTGGTTCATGCATTGCCACTATCAGTGGGTCGTGGCATTGACCACGATATTGACAATATTTGCAATTTATTTACCCAGAAAAGTCCCGAAGATTGCTTTTTTGCAGAGTCCTGCCACACATTGGATTCTTGACCGACACAAATTACATCCACCGTACATTTTATTTTATTTTTAGCTTTTCGGAGGAAACCCGAGAACCGTGAAAAAGAGCTTCATAACTCATCGGATTCTTCCCGGATTAAAAAAAAAAACTATTCTGACTCTGAACCCGGAGGAAATCCACACGGTGGAGGGACAGCGAGACAGAGAGAGAACACACAAACTGCACAGAGAAAGTCGACCCGAGTGAGGAATCGAACCGAAGCACACTTCCTGCTGTGAGTCACGAGCGCGTCACAACTGCTGCCCGCGTCGAGGATGATGACGTCGGGAGGAGGATGGCGCTTTGGAGGAGGTGGGGTGGGGGGGGTTGGTGCCGTCCCCATCACATCCTGCGGATCGTGCTGATGCGCGCCTTGCAGCTGGGACAGTGGTGGTGGATGTCGTGGCAGGGGGTGAGGCACAGGGGGATTAAACAGCACAGCCAAAGCCTGCACAGACACGCACAGACAACAAAGACACTCCCCACCGGTCCCCCGTAATATGAATAATAATAAGACGTTTTACCCTTTCTGCCAATGAAACAGAAGTTGTGCGAAAATGTTCAAACACCAAATGGATGATAGCTTTGGCAAGGAATCAAGTACTGCATGAACCACACACGTTACTTGTGGTGAACATGCAAACAAACCTGCTCTGATAATAAGTAATATTGTTTAAAAAAAAACACTTGTTTATAAACACGCTATTATGAAATGTACAAGTAATGGCAGAACTCCACGACTCCATGAAGTGGCCCCGAAGCTTGCCACAACGTAAGGGGACCGTGGTCAATTAGACCCAAGCCGAAACATAACATATAGAAAATAATATTTAAAAAATATATATTTTTTTAATGATAGAATATAGTATTATCATCAGTATGACATAAGTATACCAGGAGTTTGCAGTCGATACCACATTGGCAAGTGGGTTAAAATTGAGTTACAAGATTTGAGGATACGACAACAACGAGGACACCGACAACAACAACAGACAGAGTGAGTTCAATGAAAGCGTGTAATAAACACAATGCCAGATATTATCAGATAATGTTTGCATGTTCGCCACAAGTTACGTGTGTGATTAATGCGATGCTTGATTCCTTGCCAAAGGTATCATCTACTTGGTGTTTGGACATCTTAACACGACTCTTGTTTTATTGCCAGGAAAGGGGTAAACACCTCTTCTTATTTTTCACACTTTTCTACTGGCGGCAAATATTATCCCAAAGACGCCCCGTGATGGCCTTCACAGGCTGCTGGGGGCAAGAGCTGTTGTTGGCGATTGGCACCCATGAACAAGGCCGGCACGGCGCATGAGGTGGTGGTGTGGACAGGACCACGTCCCGACCGTCTTTGTCTCCCCAGTGGTGATGTTTAGACACAGCACCAGGCACTCCTTTAAGGGCGGAGTCGACCGAAGGGGAGTCCTAAGACCGCTTCAGGTAGTCATACAACTGAAATTGGCTGTGAGCGGACAATGGAACATGGGTCGCCTCGTTAGTGGCGCAATTCGCCAACCACCGCGCCACCGCTCCGCATACAAAAGACAAATGTTCCCCGTATATGCCTTCAGACTGTTGGGGGCAAGTGCTGCGCATACGCAGCATAAACCGATCCTGGTTTTGGCATTGTCTCTACGTAAAACGCATAGACATCCAGAGCCACGGAGAAACGCAACCGATCTCGTTGGGGGCACGGTGGTGGTTTCCTGGACGAGTGGACACCAACCACGCACGCGCGCCAAGTCGCGATTGGCAGAGGACGCAGCAGCGACAATCCATCGTTGGGCTGCAATTCCATGCTCCCACGTGGCTGCGTGGTCCTGCACGATCCCGCGCACACCGGCGCTGTGGCCGTGGCTCGGCCATCGAACAAAGACGGTGGCCACCGGCATCGCGCGCTTTCGGATGCGCTTCTGCGGCCGTCTGGAACGCTCTTCCTTGCGATAGTAGGAAGCCGCTGGGAGCTGTGCCCTTTTAAATACGCTCGATTGAAAATTCATTTCTTTCAAAGAGCTTTTATCTGTGTTTTAGTTTGTTGTCCTTCCCTCGTACCTCTGATTAGCGCGGTTGGCTACGTCGGCTGCGAAATTTAAGTTCAACGTACATACACACATTCATCTATGTGTGTGTGTGTGTATGCCTGGTAGATGCACTACCTGTGCCCCAATACTGTGCCAACTTTGCTGCGCTTAATCTTTCCCGGGCGCTCCGCTCATCGCTGTGAGACCGTCGCTCCTCTGCCCTCCGTCGTTGCTGGCGGGCGACCGCCTTTCAACTTGCCCAGCAAGCAGCAGCGTCCTCCACGACGAGCCTCCTCCTGCTCCTCCACCCAACCCAACCCAGCCACCCCGACCCACTCACCCCAGCAGACACATGATGCCCACCAAGATCCAGGCCAGGAGTCCCGGGCTGCTGACGGTCTCGGTGACCACCTCGTGCTGGCAGGCGGGGCACGTGGTGGACGCGGGCCCCGCGGCGGAGGGGCCCTCCGGCTGCTCCTCCGCGGGCGCCACGTGGATGTGCGCGTGCGGTTGGGCCGAGCGATATGAGGCCGGACAGCCGCCTGCTGCACGCGAGTCGCGTGGGGTTAGAGCGGTGCTTCTTAACGCGTTTTTAGTGCGGCGGGGGGGGGGGATGGGGGGAGGCACTTTCGCCGATAAGACATCAATCAGTGTGTGAGTGCGTTAGCGGTAAACACACATTTGAAACCATTGTTTGGGGTTTGACAGCAAGACGATGATGATGATGATGGTGATGATCATGGCGGGGGTGGGGGGGGGAGTGTTTTTCACAATTTGTGTTGTATTATCGGGGAGGGGAGGGGGTGGGGGGGCAGCGCACGTCAGGTGCCGCGCTAAAGGCCACTAGGGGCCTGCAGTGGCTCGCGGGGGCCTTGCGACGACGAAATTTGCGTCAGACAATCGCCGCGCGGTGCCGAGGAGCCCCAATTGGGGCGAGGCGAGCGTCCTGCGTGTGCGCAACCAACACGGCACGCGTCATCTCGGTCGGTGTTTTAGCAGGAGCTGAGTGGCGTCGTGGGTGGGCTGGGTGGGTACTCTCGTGTATCTGTGCTGGAGGTGAGCGAGTTGCCTGTGAGCTGTGTGTCTGTGCGTGGACATCATCAGCTGTCACGCACAGCACGAGACACCCGCGTGGGTGGGCCAGGTGAGTACTCTCGTGTATCTGCTGGAGGTGAGTGAGTTGTCTGTGAGCTGTGTGTCTGTGCGTGGACACCATCAGCTGTCACGCACAGCACGAGACACCCGCGTGGGTGGGCTGGGTGGGTACTCTCGTGTATCTGTGCTGGAGGTGAGCGAGTTGCCTGTGAGCTGTCTGTCTGTGCGTGGACACCAACAGATGTCACACACAGCACGAGACACCCTCGCTCGGGTATCGCCGACCCTGCGAGACGCAACGAAGGGAATCTCTGTGCTGATGAACCACAATGGGGGTAAAGCCATGTGTGTGTATGTGTATGTATGTGTGTATGTATGTGTATGTGTGTATAGGTGCTCGCTAACAGCACTTGCCCCAACAGTCTGTTAAGGCTACACGGGGATCTTTGTTTTTTTATCTTTGTATGTGTGTATGTATGTGTTTTTTTAATTGTGTGTGTATGTGTATGTATGTGTATGTGTGTATGTATGTGTTTTTTTAATTGTGTGTGTATGTGTATGTATGTGTATGTGTGTATGTATGTGTTTATATATGTGTGTGTGTGTATGTGTGTATGTGTGTATGTGTGTAGGCCAGACAGCCGGCTCTGGACGGGTGCGAGGGACTGGTAACCCCTCCACCTTCAATTAATTACCACTAAACCACGAGTTAAACTGAAATATGTAACTAATAAGCTTGTGCCGGAGGCCCCGGGGGGACAGGCATCTACGACGTCTCCTGGCCAAACCCCAATTGGCGGAGCCAGGAGATTGAATCTCTACCCTCGGGGCTCCTCCAGAAACAACGAAAAGCCACTACGGATGGCCACGTGGAATGTTCGAACACTCACTGCGGAGGAGAGGCTGCCACTCCTCTGTTGGGAGCTGGACCAGTACCGCCTGGATCTATGTGGCATTCAGGAGGTCCGGTGGACCGGCTCTGGCTCCTGCCACCATGAGGGGTGGACAGTCCTCTACTCGGGGCAGCAGACTGCCAAATAACAGGGTGTGGCTCTTCTTTTGAACAAAAGAATGAAGGGGGCGTGGGAGCATGGCGGTGAGGTGTGGGAAGCTGTAAGTCCCAGGCTACTTTGGGCTCGCCTTCCCATCAACCGGAGGCGAGGAATGGTGGTCGTGGTTACTTATGCCCCCACCGAAGATGAACATCCGTGGAGGGATGCAGGAAAAGGCGATGAGTCAGATGCCTTCTATGACCTCCTGTCACAGGTGCTGGCTAAAGTGGCCCCTCGGGATAGAGTCATCATGTTGGGTGACTTCAATGCCCGAGTTGGTCATGATGCTGGCACCTGGTCTGGAGTGATTGGAGGGCATGGGCCAGATCAGCTCAATAACAACGGTAGGAGGCTGCTAGATTTTTGTGCAGCCCATGGGCTTGTAATTACCAACACGCTGTTCCGGCATCGGCGCATCCACACAACATCATGGATGCATGCCGGGTCCAAGCAAGAACATCTGCTGGACTACATAGTGACGGACCAGCGGATGCGAGCCCATGTCCTTGACACCAGGACCTACCGTGGAGCTGATCTGCCCTCTGACCATCGACTAGTCATCTGTAAGATGCGCCTGCCATTCTTCCACTCCGGTGGTGGGTGTACACCCAGGACCCCATTCCAACCTAAAGTGGCCTGGTCTCAGTTATTTGATGGAAGTTTTTAAGCGAGAATTTCATCATCGCTTGCGGCTGGGATTGGCATCGTCCCCCACTGCTCCTGATGTCGAGGGTAAATGGGCGAGGTTTAGGACTGTGACTCATGCAGCTGCAATGGCTGCTTTGGGTACGCGGTAAAGACCTCCCCAGAGACCCTGGCTGACAGAGGAGGTGTTCAGGATGGTTGAGAAAAAGAGACAGGCCCACTGTCATCGGCTACAGAATCCCACGTCGGAGAATGAGGAGGCTTACCGCAGCCTTCGCTCGGAGGTTCGGAGAGTCGTGAGGCACTGCAAGGATGGGTGGTGGTCGCGGGTTGCTGAGGAGATGGAGTCTGCCTCAGTGGCCCGTGATCACAAATCTCTATTTAACTCATCAAAAAAGTAACCTGCAGCGCAATACCTATTACCGTCATTAGGGGAAAAAAATGGTGATCCAATCTCCGACCCCCAGGAACAGGTTGGCAGATTTGCTGAGCATTTCTGTGAGGTCCTGGGGGAGGGAAAATCCCTCAGCCAGGAAAACACCGTGGCACAAAGTGAGGATGACCCTGCTGAGGCTGCGATGCCTCAAATATTGGAAGAGTCACCCCCTGTGAATGGCTGGCTGAAGTACCATACTTTGAGAAAGTACTGAAGGTGATCCGGAGTCTGAGACCAGGAAAGGCAGCGGGCAGAGATGATCTCCCAAGCGAAATGCTGAGGGAGGGTGGCGTTTGTGCACAGACTGCCCTATACGATATCATAACAACAGTCTGGACCACTGGACGGGTTCTGCAGGATTGGAAGGATGCCCTGGTGGTCCCCCTCTTTAAGAAGGGGGACCGCACAGACTGTAACAACTACACTCTTCAGTGTGCCGGGAAAGGTCCTGGCAAGGATTATTCAACATCGCCTCGCCAGGCACGCTGAGGAGAGGCTTGCGGAGCCTGAATACGGTTTCAGGAAAGGGCGGTCCTGCACAGATGCCATATTTTCTGTCCGTCTGCTACAGCAGAGGTGTAGGGACTTCGAACAAGACCTACATCTCTGCTTTATTGACCTGGTCAAGGCCTATGATACCATCAGCAGGCCTGGGCTCTGGGTTGTTCTTCGTGCTTTTGGAGTCCCTGACCCTCTGCTCACGATCATTAAGAACCTTCATGATGGTGAGCGGGCCCGGGTAAAACTACGTGGCCGGGAGTCAGAGCCATTCCCTGTACACCTTGGGGTGCGACAGGGATGTCCGCTGGCTCCCACATTATTTAACATCTATTTTGACCACGTCGTTCATGAAGCCTTCAATAGCTGTACCGGGGGAACCTCCATTTGGTACAGATATAATGGGAGGCTGATCGATGCCCGGATGTGGTCAAGGGATGGCTCCTTATTGCTCAACCACGCTATGTATGCCGATGATTTGGTAATAGCTGCTCATTCAGAGGAGGAGTTGGAGACGCTGCTGCTGAGACTGGAGCGTGCCACTAAGAGATGGGGCCTGACCATCAGCCCCACCGCAACTAAGCACCTGCCTGGGTATTTTGTACCATCGGACACTCCACCCCCACATCTCCCAATCGGTGATGGGGCAGTTGTGGAGAGAGTAGAGAGTTTCCCATACCTGGGCAGTGTGCTTATGACCGGCTCCAGTTTAACAGCAGAGGTCTCACTCCGAATCAGTCGAGCGGCAATATCTTTTCATCGGTTGCGTAACGCTGTGTGGAAGCTACCTGGTCTGTCGCTCCGCACTAAGCTTCAGGTTTTCTCGGCCACGGTCATTCCCTCCCTTCTCTACGCTTGCGAAACGTGGACCCCCTTAATGGAGCATCTTCGCCGGTTGGAAACATTTAGGCTGGCCTGCCTATGATCCATCCTGGGTTTAACCAGACTGGATTGTGTGAGGAGCTCACAAATCCTTGAAAGATCTGGGCAAGGTCCCATCGATGAGCTCCTCCGGCAGGCAAGGCTGCGTTGGCTGGGTCATGTAGCCCGCATGCCCAGCCACCGCATGCCGAAACAGCTTTTGTTCGGCCGGATCGAGGGGGCTAAACGGGCGCGGCACGGGCTAGAGAAGAGATGGAGTGATGTGGTACAGGAGGACGTGGAGCTGAGTGGACTTGCCGATGACTGGTACCAGCGGTGTCAAGATCGGCCTCTGTGGAGGAGGCTCGTGAAGGACGCTACTGAGCAGTTGGAGGCAGTCGCCCTCCAACAACAACGGAGGGCGGAGGAGCGACGCTCACAACGAGCGGAAGCACAGCAGGTTGGCACAGTAGGGGGCACAGGTGGTGCACCAGCCAGTCATCTCAGTCATTCGACCCGTGGCACCTGGGTCTGCCCCGTGACCTCCTGTCCGCGGGCGTTCGACACTTCAAGTGGCCTCAAGGTGCACATGGCCTGGCACAAGCATCGTGGTGACGTCACCGCCACTTAGTGGCGAATGGCGGTTGTTGTTGTATGTGTGTATGTGTGTGTATATGGTTGGCACAGTAGGGGGCACAAGTGGTGCATCAGCCAGTCATCTCAATCAGTCGACCCGTGGTACCTGGGTCTGCCCCGTGACCTCCTGCCAGCGGGCGTTCGACACTTCACGTGGCCTCAGGGTGCACATAGCCTGGCACAAGCATCGTGGTGACGTCACCGCCACTTAGTGGCGAATGGCGGTTGTTGTTGTATGTGTGTATGTGTGTGTATATGGTTGGCACAGTAGGGGGCACAAGTGGTGCATCAGCCAGTCATCTCAATCAGTCGACCCGTGGTA